ATTCTTCCTTTCCTTTCTCTGAAGCACCAGATGCTAGACAGTATTAGACAGAATTTTGAACTAGAATGCAAAAAAATGCAGACTTACGAAACATTTGCATTGCCTTAAAAATGCTCCTGGAACCAGACATCCAGATCCTGGTCCTCATTTGAACCAGCTTTTTTTTCCTTTACTGCAGCAATCTTAAGGATGTTGGCTGAAAGTCAGCAAAATTGTCTTGCATATAATGTCCCTGGGACAACTGACCTGTTGACCATCTTGAGTTTTTAGTGAGCAGGGCAAGAATATACCTTCACCCTTGTCTGGAAATGCCCAGTTTTGACCTCTTTATCTTATACTGGAGGAAAATGCCAGCTCACTCTTCTCTTCATTTTGTGGGAATGAACTTTTTTTGAGGAGTTTCCTCTGACTTTCCAAATCAAATTGTCACCTAGAAATTCTTCATCGCTATACCAAAGTGCAAGTGATGAGTATTATTGCCAAAGGAAGGAACAGAAAAAAATAGCTTTATTTTTAACTTATCTCTTAAAAGGCATAATGACCCCAGAGCTGTCCCACAGGAGTTATCCTTTATCACTACTGGATGAATAGAGATTTTTCTGGTTTGCAAAGCCCAAATCATCCATATTCATGCCAAACTCATAGAGTTCCTGTCAAAAAGGCTTTAATCAGACACAAGGCAGAATGTAAGTTACTCTTGCTCCAATAGCTCCTGATATGGTGATCTACAAAGCATCATAGCAACCACTCCTGCAATGGACTGAGTTTTCCCTGAGTTATGCCAACAACTCAGACCATGTCCTGGGATGCAGGCCAGAGCGAGTAACCTGCCCCAGGGACTGACAGCACCCTCCTCTTCAAGCTGCCAAGTTCCTGGGTTGATTTATAGGAGGAAAAAAAGACATGGAAGTGAAAAATCAGGAAGAATTTGGATGGACAATGTTCTTTCCACTAGAGTTAAGCAGTACATGAAAGCTTTATGTTCAAGAGCCGACGACTGAGAAGGCAGGTGCCCCACTCCATGTGGGTTGCTGGAATGGGATCTGGCTCCAGAGATGACATACTTTCTAGCTGTCAGTCTTGCTACATTCCTCCAGCCCACCGAAGCTCATGAGTGACCAGCACTCAAGAACTCTGCACCCTGGAGGATCATGACCTGGACATTTCAGGAGTACTAGAAGTGGTTGTGTTGCTTGTAATCTATACAGCACAGTGTGGCCACGACATGGCCTCAGACATGTAAGAACATATGTTCTCCCAACACAAAGCATCCCACCACAAGTGGTTATAGCTCCCACCATGTCTTCAGAGAGCACTCTGGGACTCCACTGCCCTACAGCAGGCAGCTCCAACAGCCAGGCAAAGTGGCTTTTCCCACTCTTCACATGCACATCGTGCTTCTTGTACTCTGCTGAGGACAAGGAGTAAAGGGGAAGGGGTCATATCCCACTTCAAGAAATGTTGGTTGGATTATTTCAGTATGCTCCCTTGAAAATGTACCATTATGGACGAACAAGTAGCACACCCAGAGGTGACAATCCCCAGATAAACGAATACTTATGGATTAGTGATGCAGCTGTACTGAAGGCATATGGCTGGCTTTGCAGGAAGGATTACTGTAGCAAAGATGAATACAGATGACTGAAGCAGCTGGGACAGGAACTCGTCCTTCCTCTTCAGCTGGGTATAAAGCTTCTGGCTGGAGGTCTGTCTACCCATATTTGGCATCCCCCAGACGCTCCCACAGCACTGCATTTGATGATTATGAAAGGAATGAAATCCTCTGCAAAAATAAAGCAGTGATGGACACAAAAAAGTGTTTGATTTCTCTCAAAAAAATCTTGATCCATGCACTAAAAAGTCATCACCCTCCAGCTGGCAGTTTCTGAAGGACAGCAGAAAGACAAGAACTTCCTGAAGCATTTTCAATTGCAGAATTCATAGGGAAACCCAGGGAGCTCTTGGCGCAGGCTGAGCACAGAGCCATCATGCTGCACTGCACGCGCAGACGCTCAGAAAACTCCTCTCCAAAAGACCATTCCCTTCAAGCGAGCAGAGGCTGGGGAGTTTGTGTCCTCCTTCAAACCCAGGACCTGCGCTTGCTTTGAGGAAAACTGCTCTCAGCAAGGCCCTAATCCAAATTTTAGCTCTGATAATGGTGAGAAAAAATGCTACAGCTGACTTCACTAAGCTTTTAAATCAACCCCATTGTCTGTTACATTAATAACTGCAGCTTTCAGCATACTGGAGCCCAACAGTTTCTTAGGATGTAGCAGATGCCCTGTGATTGCTCTGCTTTTTTCCTATTGCTAATTTATCGCCATCATGACTGTCAAGAAAAATCCATGGGGCATTTCTTTCTTTTTGGAAGGGGAGGGTGGAGAGTGGGGTATAACACTTACTCTCTAATGCTGAGCCACCAGCATATGGAGAGGCATATTATCTCCCCCAAGAAAAGAGACCAAACTTCTGCTCTCACCTAAAAACACACATTATCACCCCCTGTTTGTGTCTAGCTGCCTACAAAATCATGAACAAGATAATTACAGAATAAGTTTGTTAGCAACAGGCCTTAATTTTACCCAGGCTCCTCTACCTTCATAATTTCAAATACTTGTCAGCAGCAAAAAAAGTGCCAAGCAAACCACAGGTGACTGGAAAGATGTGATTATTCTCTTCCTTTTTCCCTCACTTTTTTTTTCCTTCAGCTGTAGCTCTTTTGCACACTAACTCTCCGCAGGAGAGAGCAGGTGATTTATGCTGGGTCCCTGTAAAGCTCTTGGGCACATTGCATCGCTGCATAATTATCAGTACATTTTTCCTAATGAATGCACACCGGTGCAGGGCCGGAGGAAGAGCTGGATCCAGCTTGTTTGACATCTCTGTGCCAAGCCTCCTGTTTTCTATTTGCTCGTGTCACCCTCTTTTTTTTTTATCATTATTATTATTATTATTATTCAGCCCGAGCTTCCAGGGGGTTTGGGGAAGCACGGACCAGCCTGGCTGCGGGGCTGGCAGCCCCGGCGTCCAGCAGAGCTCTCCCCCCGCTCGTCACCGGTTCCCCAGCAGCCCAGCCGTGCTGGGGGACTCCACGGCCGGTCCGAGGGGTCCCTCTGGTGATGGGAAGAGGCGGCGGCCGGGAGCAGAGCAGGGGCTGCTCCTGCTCTTTCCTTCCCTGCTCCCCAGCCGGGAGCACATCCCCCCCGGGATGCCCGTACCCCCCCGGGGCAGCCCAGCAAGCCGGGCTTTGCGCCTTGGGCAGCCCTGTGGGATCTGGTGCCATGGTGGGACGCAGGATTACTGACCCTACAGCGGTGCAGGGTGGGGTGCAGGGCCGCAGCATCCTTCCCTCTCCGCCACCTCGGAGCAGGGAGGGGGTCATCAACTCACATCCCAAAGGCAAAGCGAGGCACTGCCCGCGCTTGGGTTTTTCAGGCTGCCAGATAACCTACCTTTTAATGGAGTCAGAACTTTCATGAACAAGAATATGAAACATGAACTCCTCCCTGGGTTTAAGGAAATGAATCGATAGTCCCTCTTAACATGGAAAGCAGGTACACAGTCACATAGCCCAGACTCCCACGTATGGAGCATTTTGGGGAGAAAAGGCAGGACAGGGAAAGGATGGATGATCTCAGAGCAGTGGGCAGAGGATGAACCAAAAGTGGTTTTCCAATCACTGCAGTTCAGCATCTCATACACAATGAATTGGCTTCAGATACGTTTCTCAGAAATCACCTACAGCACACTCCCACTGATGTAGTCCAAAATAATGAAATCTTCTTTAGAAATTGAAAATCAGCCACTATTTACATTCCAAGTGCCCCAAATAATTACATTGGGGATATGACTGATTCACCATCTCTAATGACCTGTCAAACCTGGGGGAAGGAGGTCAGATCCAAGAAGGTTTTTCTAGGTCCCCCTGGGCTCAGGGGAGACTGGAGAAGCTCTGCTAAAAGGAAAATAATGTGATGCTGGTCCCAGTCCTCCTTTCAGACTCATTTAGCCAGGTGTGATACTGTCAGTAGCGGTGGCAATGCATTACTTTACACAGGTGTAATTTAGCAGAGGTTCATGTCTGCTTTTTTCCCTAAAGAGTCTTTAAAAAAAGCAATCTGTCAGACCTTCCTATTCAGGTCATTCCCAAGTAATGTTCTGCAATACAGTCATAGAGACAAATGTAGAGTGTTTTCACTTTAAAGTGTGATGATAAAAGAATATCTGGTAGCCAGAGGGAAATTTCAAGGGGTGAGAGCAGTCCTTCCAACTCCTCTGGGGGTCTGACATTACATACTCCCCAGGCAAGTAAGTTATTAACTTGCTTCATTCATGCCTTTTAGCAGGAAGCAGAACTAAGTGCAAATCCAAGTCCTGACTACTGCAGATTTCATGATTAGTTTGGTGTCTTAGTTTTTTCCAGCTCACATAAGTAGGTGTTTATCATCTGAGAAGCTCAGCTTTAATGGAAGAAGAAAAGCCTGCCTCTTAGTCCTGTTTGCAGCATACAGGTGTTCACAGCTGCATCCTTTCAGAGGGCAGCATGCTAGCTTTCTGCCAGTGCTATGAGGCAGCAGCAAGTTGTTTTATAAACCAGTGAGGATGGTTTCTCAGCAAACTCTCTTGAAGCATCTCTTATACAGACCACACGAATGGAGCTGCTTGTGTTTCAGCACTGACACTCCAGAAAGGTCCTGAGTACCTTGGATGGTGGCAATGCTCCCCCTTTCTCACTGACACCTGGACCCTTTAGGAGCTCAGTCTTGTCACCTTGTGTGGGACTGGATACTTTTGCTCCATGATAACTCATTTCAGTATGTTCATAGCTAATGGGCAGAGGTGGCCTCGTGAACAAGTGTCAGTCTGCTGCAGAACACAGACATCTCTGCACACAAGCAGTTTTCTTTGCAAAGGCACTCACACACTCCATATGCCATTTTTAGCCTAACAGTAAGGAGTTACAGGTGCTATCCAGCAAATGCTTTGCTCTTATTACTTACCAGCAGAAGGTATTACTGCAGTCTTAGAGCTCTGTTGCCCATTGAGTGCACTCATGCTTAGTGCTTCCCCTGCCTGGAAAAAAAAAAAAAAAAAAAAAAAAAAAAAAAAAAAAGAAGCACTAAGAAGAAATTTTATGCTGCAATTTATTACAATTTTACTTTCCTCACATTAAAACTGCATCCAGCCCTGCTTATAATGACAATCTTACTCCTCAGCAAGGCAATCCTCATACCCTCAGAGATGCCCTTCCCTCCACAATTCTCACAGTTAGTAATGAAACTGTCCACTTTCCCGGTACCCTTAACCACCAAACACTTTGGAGAAGACAGATGGTGCCCCACTGAAGTAAACATACAGACAGACAGACTGCCTTTGATTCTGATGGGCACAAATTAGGATCCAGGGTCAGCCCCAAATTGTGTAGCTCCATCTGTGATGGACCCAGGTTCCCTGCCTGATTTGCAGAGCGCAAAAGCATTCCAACAGCTTCTAGCAAGAAGATTTGAAAATCTAAGTGTGAAATCAATATTATGGTTGATACCATAATGGTATGGCTGATACCAGGTTTTACACAACAATGTTTTAATTGTTTGTTTTCCCTTTTCCCAACCCAAGCTGGGAAAGAAGAACTGAAGTTTGTTTCACAATCACTGCCATGCCAATGATGAAGCAGCAAGGACCTATCATTTCAGAAGCTGTCTGGAAGCTTTGGTGCTACCAAGAAACTTTGAGGGACTTCAACATGTTCTCCAAGTTGAGCACATCACAACATGTTGCATAAGAAGACAAAAGCTCTTTTCTACATCTGACTCTGGGACAGGCAAAGCATTTGATTCATAGCTCTTTAAGATCCACCAAAACTCTTCCATTAGCTTGGCTGAGGTTTGAGTTGGACCCAGAGACAATTTCCTAAAGAGTCGTCTAGCTTTTTCCAAGGTCCAACACATAAGGAGGTGAGGTATTTGTTTCTGCCTTGAGGATTTAAGAAGTTCCTCTTGTAAAAATAACAGGGACATCCACCCCTGTCATTTCTAACTGCTGGGAGTGGGAGGAGGTGGCCAGAAGGGAGAGGAATGGTGGCTGGATGAGTCTCTCCACCCAAACAGCAGACAGATCTCGTCATCCCCTGGCCCTGCCAGCCAACTAGTGAAGAAGCTCCTTTGTGGCACCAATGTAAAGGTCAAGCTTTTCAAAATCGTACCCTATTATAGCTCTTGAAGGACAAGATTCTTACACACAAAGGAAAAGAATATGCTCAAAACAAAATTAGGATATAAATATATGAAGTGTGAAGCTGAAGACTTATGACACCTTTATGGTGCTTCAAACTCCATTAAAAAGTTGGTTTGTTTTCCAGAAATGTTCAATCCTGTTTCATACTTAGGGAAAGGAAGGGTTGGGGGGGTCATATAGCGCTTAACTTCAGGCTACCTTGAGAAATCCTCTCTCATCCCCCATGGGAAGCAAAGGCAGGCAAGAACCCCCACCTCTCCAGCACAGACGGATGAACTGGTGCACAGGTGCACCGAGATGGTATTTACACAGTTTTGTAGGTTTGAGACTCAAAAGGGTATAATTTGACCCTGCCAAATTTTTGATAGAGTGGTGGGGGATACTCATCCTGTCCCAAAAAACAGAGCCACAAGCACATCAGGGCATCCCAGAATAAGCACACCCATGACTGACAAAATTAGTGGGTGGTGTACAATATTAATTCAGCTCCTTATCCATGTACACCAGGATGCTGCCTTTAATTAAATTAGCATAAGCTATCTCTTTGACATTCTGATTTAATATTATAGACTCGAGGTTTTATCCCAGTAAATGCATAATATGTGAATGCATCTCAGAGTCATTTTTTCATGTTTCTCTGTACACTCACTGTTTCTATTGTCTTAATGATCTAGTTTGTCTTTGCCAGCTGGGATGTGTGTACTACAGACTAAGTCAATGTTTGGTTCTCAAAAGAGGAGAGCAACTCACTACAGTGGCTTTTTTATTGCAGGGCTGTGGGAGCTCCCCAGTGAGATGAAGGAGCCTTAGGGCTGTCATCTTCCCAAAAGTCATCCTGAGCCTGGGGACAGGTGTTAACTGAGGTCAATCTGTGCTGGGCTTGAATCTGATCCTGTCCCATTCACCAGGTCAGAGCTCGTGTAGGTCCCCTGACCGTTCTGCAGCAAACAAGGAGGGCTGTGGAAAGGCTCTTTTCCCTGGGCTATCTCCTCTCTTTTGAAAGCACTTTTCACTCTGTCAAGTGGTGTGAAAGTGTCATGGATAGCTGAGAGTCTTATTCAATGTGGAATATACAGAGCAGGGACAGGTCACGCTGCCTTCCTTGTACAAGGAGCTCCTCTGCACTCTCTCTGGGTAGGATTTGCTTCAGGACTCTGTGCGTGAAGTCTCCGGACCACCCTGACCTGCCTGGCCATGGTCTCATGTCCCACTCACTGCCCACCACCACCTGTAGGTTTCCCTCCTTGCTGGGCTTCTGCCAACCAGGTAGCTGAACGGCAGCCCCAAACCCATCCTGGATCCTTCATTAGTACCAGCACTTTTTGCTTGAGGCTGTGTTCTCTCTCCCTGCACACAGAGGGCTTGCTATGAGGGGGTGACCCCAGGGAAACCAAGTAACCAAACTCCGGTTCTGCAACATGCAGTTTATGCATTTCCATACAGTCTTTGCCTTTGTGTGTTCCTGATCCGGTCACTTTAAATTAATGCTTGCTGGTTCTCTCATGTCAATAAATGCACTGAATGCAAAACAGTATCATCCTTACAGTAACTGTTTCCAACTCTACAACAGATTAAAACTAAATTTGCTGATGTTTCAAAACTGGCAAAATCATGCATCTGCAGTACAATTTTTAATGGTAGGCAGACTGTTATTAATGGTGGGATAGCTTATATTAAAAATTCTATGTTTATGAAATGCACTTTTAAGTGCTTGACTGTAGGAGCACAAAGGTCACTTGCTTTGTTCTTTAAAGGTAATGGGAACCTGCTCTACTGCAAGGTCATTACCAGGTTAGCTGTGATTCTGCAGCTTTTCTGGTGCCATTGTATATCTTCTCTTGATTCAGCAGCTGGATCTTTTCTGGATTTTTACAATTCTTCCACCCTTCACTGGGAACTCACCCTCTTCTCCTGCTGTTGGTCTAACTATGTTCCAGATATTTCAACCTACAAAGACTAACTGACCTGTGACCAAGTGCACAATGTCCCTCTGTACACAGAGAACTGAATAAATGGAGCCAGAATGCCTTCTTCCAGAGGGCCTCCTTCATGCTCTTATTAGTACTCTTCTGCCCTTGCAGAAAAGCCTCCCACTTTTTCAGGAGCTTTACTATTTATCCAGATGATACACAACAACCTGTGATCACACACGTTGCAAGGTAACTTCGTATCTTCAGGCTCAAGAAAAGATAGGTGTCCCAGCTCTTCTTAAGAGAGCTCACACCACTCATGAGGAAGACTACAGATGGGTGATCCCTGCCCTGGAGCCCGTCTTCCACCCCAGGACATCAGTGGTAGGACCATATTGATAAAAGTGGAGTTGCTCCTGGACAAGGCTGTTCCCCAGGGACTGCCCACACTCTGACAGTGCCAGCACTCCTTGCTAGAGTGTTGGATTCACAAAATCTCCATCTTTCAGCCCACATCACGTTTAATGAGCCAGACAGGCATTATGCTCTCCGCTTCGAGACAGAAGCAGTGTGCAGTGTGCTCAGTAAATGATTAAAGCAAGATCCGTGTAATTTTACAGCTAGGCCTGGTAGGATTCAAGGTTTATTTTTACTGAGAGTTGATAGTTAAAAGCAACATTAATTTCTGGTTGTCAGCTTTTACTGCCAGTTACGATTTCAGCTCCCCACCCCTGTGTCGGGGCCCGCGGTGCCCCCTCTTTAATGCCGGCACCTCCCTGGAGCTCAGCTGGGGTCGCTCGCAGAATCGAGTTGATAAGAAATTATAACCAGTGCTGCAGGAGCGAGAGGCAGCAGGCAAAAAAGCTGTCTCTATCAATATTTTACAATTAAAAGTTGAGTCCTACTGAGCCTCCTTGTAGCTATGCTGAGCCTTTAATATAAAATGGGTTTGCAGCTTTTGGTGGAAAGACTGTGAGGAAGGGGAGGGAGCTGGGTATCTATCCGGCTGCTCACACTACCACAACTAACAGTGCTTTCAGGGGACCTTTTTGCAGGAGATGTTACATTTCATCCTGGCTTCCCAAGGGGTTGGTTACTCCAAAATAGCAGGAGTCTTACCTGTTGCTTGCTGCCCAAGAAGGAGCTTGTGTTGCTGACTTGCTGCTTGCTGTGGGGCAAACGCATGATGTTTACCTTACAGTGTTATGGAAACAGCCAACTTAGCTCCTGTGGTAATAATAGAAAACATCTTTAAACAGTGCAGTTGTGAAGAGGGGTTATCTTTTAAGCAATGGCCTAGGCACCTGCCTCCTGTCACCTCTGCTCTGCAGTAGAAGCGGGGCAATGCCATCTGACAAGCAAGCAGTGGGGAGCACTTAACTCCACAAGACATCTCTATCAGATCCCATGCGTTGAAAGGCGTGCAGGTGCCACCCTCCCACAGCCTTCAGCAAAGAAAATGCAAAAACATCAATGCCCAGGGTTATTTGTTTTGCCAAGTGGAAACACTGTTCTCATTCCCCTGTGGGTAACCCAAAGATGGTAACAGGGCCTGACATCCCTGCCCTGGATGGCAAGCCCTTTTAAACTGCCTTGCCACAATCTAAACAAGAAGTTGGAAGAAATACGTGTTATCATAGCTAGGCTGTGGGTAGCAGAGGTGGGATGCAGTTTGCTCACTAGTCTGTACTGGTATACAGTGTTGCCTGCCCACAGACGCCACAGCAGGTCTCAGCATCAACAACGATGGCTCACCAGCCACTGGCCACAAGCGTGGTCCGTCAAGCTTCTCACTTGGCTCAGCATCTCTCTGATCGATTCAGAGCTGCTCAGTGTCACTGGTTTGGATCTGAAACATTTTTTAAATCTCAATAGTTGAGAACTTTGTAAATGGTGCAAGCACTTCAGAAGTGATAACACAGCATTGCGCCCAGAAGGGCGCTGGTGAAGGTCCTAAGTGGGAAGCGTTGCCTGAAGCAAACAGAGGTTTGCATGTCACTCCTGAGTCTTTGTCACTTGAACACAGGTTTATTTATTCCACCTAGCTATATCCACATGCCTGAGATGGCTGAGACAGGAGCCTTGTCTGCTTGTCAAGTCAATGGAGAAGCCCATAACCCCAAAAGGATGCTTCAACTCACAAGCATTCAACATCATTTCTGGGGTTACCTATCTCTCTCCACTGACTACAGAAAGCAAACGCGAGGTATTCGTTCTGTTTGATAGTATGATCACATACTTCAATGCATCTTAGCTGTTACTCCTGTTTCTCAGGAGTAGTGCCATCACTGCAGCAGGAATTTTTCAGCAAAATATTTGACTTCAAGGTGTTTTTTGAGGTTTTGTGTTTCCTATCTGAAAAATTCAAGTTCTTCAAAATTCAATCTGCACAGGAGGTTAGGGACAGGTTTTGTCAGGTTTATGTCAAAAAATATTTTAATAAAGCTTCAGAAATTGTCTCACTATCTTGTTCCGACAAGTTCTAAATGGAAAACTCCCAGCTTCTACTTTCTTTTTTTTTTTTTTCTCTAAAAATTAATCCAATCTTTTAAGTTTAATTAGTATTTCCAGTATTTATAAAACAACTTATAAAACAATGAAAACTAAATGGTTTCATGGATGTCACTCTTTGGCTTAGTAATTTTTCCAGGTTTTCAGTTAGCAAAACTTTTCATGGTCTTATCATGACCTTATCATCTCACCCCAGAACAGAATAACCTTACAAAATATTTTCAAAAAGCAGAAAAAAGATTTCCTGTTGTCCCTTGTTTTGACCAGCTCTGAATTTGCAGTGACTGCTGCGGTGTTGAGCTCCCACAGGCATTCAGGATCCTGAAGGGAGAAATGGAATACTAATTCCATGGTTGGCTTTACTTGATTAAATAAAAAGAATATTTGGGCAAATAAAATAGAATTCTTCCCAGACCCTGCCCTGATCAAGCTGTGCTCAGAAACATTCAATCTGATTATTCTCATTTTAGCAAACTGACTTTGCGACCCAGCAGGACGATGGACTATTAACAAGTTGGGTATTTATAGCACAGATGTCAATAATTTGGAGTATTTAATCACAGCATATTTCAATTTGTCCACATCTCACACAAATGAGCTGGCTGTGCCAAGGGTCACGTATGCATATGGAGGTGGTCTGAGTCTATCTAATATCATTAGATAACTCTCAGCTCTTGTACTAAAAAAGAAAGAGTGGACCCAACCTCTAACCAAGTCATGCGGGATTAGCCCATCTCCAGCCAAGGCCAGATCCTGTATATCTACTAAGGCTCAGCTCTGTGTGGTCTTAAAGAAGCTCTGGGTGGCAATGGGGAAGATTTGCTTTTTTTCACTAATGGTATGGCATATATTTTGCTTGCAAAACGCCTCTCAGATATGAAATTTCACAACTAATATGAAAAGGTCTTTTCTTAGGGCCCAGAGAAGGTGCACAAGCTAATCCTGTAGCACTGAGATGATAAAAGCACACCCTAAAGGAATGAATGATTGAAGCCCATCCCTAAATATTAATAGGATACAAGGGGAAGTGGACACTTTCCTCAACTTTGCACTTACCGAGCTGCCTGTTTGGATTTGAACAGAGATATTCTCACAACCACTCCAAGCTTCTTAAATCCCCTCCTAGAAGGTGGTAGCACTCCAAACAAATGCTACCTTCATCTGAAATTCCCCAGGTCATTTTGTATTCAAACCTCAAGAGGAACATGGTGGTGTTTATCAGAAGATGTGCTCCAAATGCAAATGGAAACAAAGGATGCTTGCCGAGTCCCCTGTCACTGCAGAGGAGAGAGCAGCATCTGCACAGGAGAGAGAATGCACAGAGGGATGGGATGTAGTGAGCAGGGTCTTACTCCAGCTCTGGAGATGCCCAGCCAGGGCTGCTTGACACCATGCTGGGCTGATGGAGGGGATATTGAAGGTTCACGGTAGAACCTCTCCAGTTGGTTAATGCCCTGTTTTGAAAGATGTTTACAACATACTGGCCCCAGACTGGTTTTTAAGGAGGATCAGTCCAATACAGCTCTGTGCATGGCAGTCGCAGGGACCAGGGTCTGTGTTCACCTGCTTGTTGGCCCATACAAACTGCCCCAGAGAGTGCTGCAAGGAAGGGCTCACAGCTGAGCACACGCACAGGAGACCACCCACCTTCAGGCTCTGTGGGAAAAAGGCTCCTGTGGTGCCTGGAGCCAGAGTAAGCCACTGGCAGGTACATGAAAAATTAATGGGATTGGATTTTTTTTCTTCAAATGCCATCTGAACGTGGAAATTGCTCTGTAGATGGTGCATCACAGAGCAGGGCAACAATCATGCACCAGGAGCCCGTGCTCCCAGGAGAGCTGGTGATGGGCAGCCCCCAAGGGACCAAACTCCCCTGCAGCCTTCACCAGCCCTTAGGACAGTAAAATATAAGCAATTTAAATTAAACAAAAAAAAAAAAGGGGGGGGAGAGGTTTCTCTGTCTGTTGATGCGACTTAGGCTGCTCTCTGCTGGCTCTGTGTGCTCCCTGTGTGCTTGTGGTCAGGATCACTGTCAGCATTACATGCAATAACATTCACTGCTGGAACAAGCCCTGGACTGGGAGTGGGGAGGCATGGAGTCCCCTCTTCATCAGGATGGTGGCTTGTTAGAGGAGTTCAGACCTCTGTCTTCACATTTTTCTGACCCCATTTTCTAAATCTTGCTATTGCCTCACCTATACCCTGCAATCAGCTTTTGCCTGAGCAGCTGGCAGAAGAGGGATGATGCTTGTCCATCAGCAGGGTTGTTCAGCATTAGTCTCTTTCAGACCTTTCTACCAGTGTTCTTGTCCCCCCTGGCTAAGCCCACAGCAAAGGGCTGTGGCTGGAAAGCTGTTTCCCATGCAAAGTGCCAGGGTGCCTGCAGAGGACCTGACACCCTGGCATCTTGCTGAGGGCTGCAGTGATCCACCTGCCCTTCCCCTCCTCCTGGCCAAGCTCCTGAGCTGTTTCCCTCTGCAGCTTCTCTCCTCTCTATGAGAAACACTGGAGAGCCACTTCTCCACCAGACATTGAGGTTTCATCTACCATTTCTGCTCAGTCTTTTCTTTGTCTGAGCTTGACTTGTCCAAATTCAAGATACATTACATGTATCTGAGAACATAATGTGACATACCAACCCTGGGGTTAAATTTCTTCCTCTTCTTCCAAAAATCCAGCTGTCAAGGAATGTGATGAATAAATCCCTTATGATTTTGCTAGTAAGTCCTCTCATGAGGCCCTTCTGGAGCAAGAAGGATGAATAGGGTCTTGGGCACAGCAATGGCACAAGGTCAGCTTGTTCAGGATGGTCAAAGGCAGGAGGTACAACCTCCCCTCAGCAGCATGTTTGGGAGGGTAAACAAATGGGGAGAAAGATCCTTTTGAGCAAATGGCACTAAAATGGCCTTAAGTACCTTCTGGCTGCAAATCAGATTCCTAGTCATCAGAGCATCCATGTTCTCTGACCACCTTTCACGAGGCACACCTGGAGGGGGACCCCGTGTCCCTGCAGCTTACAATGGAGCCAGGCAAGCTCCTGAAGGGTGGAGTGACACAGTGACAGCACAGACAGCAGACAAGCAGGGTAGCTCAGCACATCCCTTCCAAGCATGCGCTGTGAGCCCACACCAGCTGTCCAGGCTGTATGTGCCAAACCAATGCACCCCACTGCTGGTGTGCAGCTGCCCCACGGCCACCAACCCCCTGCTCATGCAGCAACACGGAGAAACTGCGCAAAACAGGAGGGGTTTGATGGGGTCAGACAGCGTTATGGTCCCATTTCTTTCCCATGATAATTTTAATCAGACAGACGTCACTCCACTGCCTCGCGGAAGCAAATACATCCGTGGGCATCTGCCACATCCCAAATTTAGAACAATTTTTAACAAACTGGAAGGAGCAAAATAAACAGCACTTGATCTGCAAGCTCCTCGTTCTTGATAGCGTCCCCAGAGGTGGTGGAAAGCCAAGGAGATAGCTCCCTGCTTTAATTGGTACATTAAAATTCTTCCAGGCCACTACAGAACTGTTAATAGGCAACTTAATTAAGCACTAACCCAGTTCATATTTCTACCCTCCAGAGGCTCTTGTTTCCTTTTTTTTCCTTATTACGTCCAAAGCTATGGGGACTTTTGTCCTAATCATGTAAAACAAGCTGAGGGCAGTGACACAAGGCAACTTATTTAACTCCTGATTTCCAGACACCTTTGCCAGATGCCCAGGTCTGCCACTTCTTCCCCAAAAAGAAGATGAAGGACTCTGGGTATGAGGTGTGAATTGCTACAAGCCAGCAAAAATAAACGGCAATAATCCTTAGCATCAGCAGCCAACTCACACCCGCTGAGTGCAAAAAGGAGGCAGTGTTGTGCAGACAGGCTCTCTCCAGGCATCAGGTGCCAGCACACAGGCAAGTTTTAGGCAGTCTCCTGAATTACCGAGGAGCCTTATTCAGCCTTTCACGAGCATCTTCCAAAATGCGGGTGTCCTCCATCCTGTCCTCAGCCACACACCACCCAGAGGAGACACCTCAGAGTGCCACGTGACAGAGAAGTAGCAGAAGAAGACATCATCTGATCCCCAGGAGAGCTTTAATATCTGGCTGCTCCACCCACTTGCTCTCACTGTCACTATCTGCTGAAGGAACTACAGGAATAAGCATCTGTGCCCCACAGCACACCCCAGCCCCTTGTCATTAATGAGCAACTAATTCACTGTGTGCAGCCTCAACGTCAGGCTGGTTTGATGGGTTTCCTGAGGAGGTCCTCAGCAACAATGTTCTCAGAAGTTTTCTTTTTCTTTCTAAGGCTGGGCTGGGATAAATTAAAACTTGCTCCAGTTGCTGTTGTGGAAAGTGATGGGTTTAGTGGTCATGTGAACAACAGTAGGGTTTCCATTACAGGTGAGTTATGAGACATTTAAGTTAAAAAGCAACTGGATTTTACTGCTGCCAGGCACACTTAAGGTAGTACCCTCAGAGTGAGTAAGGAGGGGTGACTGTGGAGAAGCCAGGCAGTCACCAGGCTTATGGGGGGAAGGAGCATTTCTTGCTGGTGATGAATGAATATGAATCCTGCTCAAGGAGAAATGGTCTATTTTGCCTCACATTTGCCTTGTACACCAACAGGCACATTGCCAATGCAAATATCATGATTCATGATTGAATAGTAAAGCCAATGCGGATTTTCCTCACTGAAAAATAGGGTCTGTCATCTTCTGTAACATTTTTATTCCAAGGGAAACAAAGAGTTTCAGAGCCCCCAAACACAGTAATAGCATAGCTGGAGATGTCTAGCACAAACGTTGACAAACAGCTGGGCAGGGGACAGTGAGGGAAGTGCTCTGGTGACATAAATCAGGGTGGCCAGATGGACCTTGAGTATGGTTTGCATTTGCTGAAGTCCTGTCCCATGGGTAGTAACAGGATCAGGTGGTAGTGGCGATGAGGTACAACTATCCTCCAAGTTCCTGGGTTGGATGATGTGATAGGACCAGACGGGCTTACCCCAACAAGCACCCCTGTAACAGAGGCTGTATAAGGAGGAGAAATGTGGTTTGCAGCATGATCTAAAACTAAGAGATGTCCACTGGGTTAAAAATACTGCAAAACTAATGGCTTGAAAACAGACCATTAAGCATGTTGTTACTGAAAATGCCCCTTCCTTCCCACAACAACAAAAAAGCCTCTATGGAAAAATACTTTTTAAAAAATCAAATAAAATTACAGTTTTCATTTGAACAGCATAATTTTATGGTCATTTCTGTAGATGGCACTCATACAAAAATAAAACCCAAACCTGACAGGAACTTGGTTTCCATTAATTCTTTTCCTTGCTTCTCTTGTCCTTAACTTTTTCCTTCCATCAGGAGAGGGGAAGGGAAAGACCACGCAGGGAAAGCAGGCATTGATGGAATAAATCAAAACCTGTAAGAAGTTAAAAAAAGAAGCCAAGTTTACTTCCCATTGGAATCCTGAAGTTCAGACAGAAAAGGATATAAAGAATAGCTGTGTTTTCAAGGAGTGAACAGGGAGAGAGACAAATGCCTTAAGAGTTAGGAATGCTAGCCCCACCCTGCGAAACACCCCATCTCCCTCTGCTGAGTTGCTAGATCCGAGAAAGGGGTAAAGATCTCCAAGCTGTAACCAAGAGGTGGTGACAGACTCCCTGCAACAAAAGCCCAGAGTCGAGGTGGCGTGGAGGGATGAGCTGGGGAGCAAAGGGCAGGAGGTATCTGCTGAGGCTCGCTGGGCTGGTGCCTAGAGGAAAAGATTAGTCTGGATTTCTCCACCTCTGGCCCTGTGCACTGGAGGGGACTTTGGGTTGGGAAAGACACATAAATTTCTGGATCTGAATGGGAATGGCCCCAGGTTGGCATCTGACTGTAAATAGGGAATCAAGGTGGGGAAAAGGTCTAATAAGGCCACTCAAACCTAGCAAATTGCTTTCAGTGCTGTGTCCCCCCTTCCCACTGAGGTGCATGAGCCAAACACGGTGGCTTTGGGTCAAGAGGACAAAAGGTTGCCGGGCCGTGGTTTCACCATTTGATAGAAATCCTCCTGCCTTCCTGTGGGAAACACTTACCCTTGAGTTTGAGGAGAGACCTACCCAGGCTGGGCCTTTGCCAGGACATCCAGGATGCCGGTTTTGGGAACATCTGCGGTCAGCAGTGCAGCCCCTGTGGGCCTACACCAACCAGCAGAGTCATCTGCTTGAACTTCCACCATCACCCTGGAGAGCAGCTGCCTTCCAGCCTCAGAGGTGTCCCACCCGGACGGGGAGGCTGCAGCGTTCGGCTGACAACTCCCTGACCATTCAGCCTCGTTGCACACCCACCGATTTTACTGGGAAAGTCCCGCTTTGTCACAGCACAACCTGTTCAGAGACGCTCGGCTTGTCCTTTGATCCTGTGGCACAGTCACTACCTACAGAGGCAACGGGCACCTCTGGAATCAATGTTTTTCACCATCTGCTTTACTCACTAGCACATACTCATGATGTGTGAGCCGGGTTTCCCATAGACACAGCTGAGATGAAAGCTAACACTTCCAGGCAGTGGTGGGAAACCACTTGGATATTTAAATACATACACCTATCTGCAGAGGGCAGGGTGTGAAAATGACCTTTTAAAGCACTTGTTGCACTTTTATCACCATCATGGATAACACAGCTAGGAGGCCAGGCAACTTTGTTTCTCTTCCCAGTCCTTTACTCTTTGACTACATGATATGGCTTCCAACTTCCACAATTTCTGAGGGAAATACTAATTTCAAGCCATTAGACAGAGATTCATATTTCCCTCTCAGAATTTCTTGGGGGGAGATAGAGAATAAAATTATGTATACAAACATTTCCATTTGCACAGAACATTTCTTTAAAATATCAGGAATTTGAGTTGCTGTTACCTGATGGCTCTTTTCTTTTTAGATCTAACATTGAACTTCAGGTCGATCAAAACACTTCCAGTGTACATGTTAAGAATGACTACTTTCAGTGAAAATATCCTTACCCCATCAGATAACATTACAGACACTGCACCTGCAGAGTGCATTTCAGAAGGCCGCAGAGCAGAGCCACCCAGGTTTAACTTGCAGTTTAACTCGCTTAACCACCAGATGTCTTCGTGCACTGCCCGGCAGCCCAGAGCCCAGCTCCTGGTGGCCAAGGTCATGCTGATTTTGAACCAAAGTTGCAGAGACCTTCTTTTGTTCATTGTATTCTTTTTTTTTAAAAAAAAAACTTAATAACTGCTTTGTGTCCAGGAAGAGCTGTAATTCCATGATACTGCCCACACACCCTGCACTGCTAAGGGTTATACAAGTACTCAGTAAGTTGTAACAATAGACAGAAGTACTGGCCTGGGTCTCTCACACGTAAACCTCTGCTGAGCGTCACCACATCCCTGCCACGATCTGTCACAAAGCACAGGCAGAACTGACTGCTCCTGTCAAGCCTCTCCATAACATCTGCCCAGTGCCTAGCACAGGGCAGCCCTATGCATATTTCTTCACTGTCTAAGCTCGATGCACACATAAAGGTGGATTATCTGGTTCCTGCCATTCAAGCTGTCAAACCCAACACAACACTGACTGCAAGAGAAGGCAGACGGAGCAAACAGCGGGTTGGAATCTTTTATTCAGTAATCAGTCCTGCTGTGTGGGTAGCATCTTAGCAACTGGAACCAAAGTATGCAAAAATACTGAGTTTTCACATGAAAAATCAGACAGTATAAAATATTCCAGTATTGCCTCTTAGAACCATTATTTCAATAAGACCCCTGTTATAAAGGCAACATGCTTATTTATTTTGTTTGCTTTCTATTCTCAACCCCTCCCCCGCAAAAAAAAAAATTGTTCAGACAAAAACCCTCCTTACCCCCACATTACCCACACGTGTTGCGGGGAGAGAAACACTACACGAAAACCCCTCCTGAGTCCCAAAGGTTTACTGAAGAACGTTCTCCCAGTGGTGTCAAGGACCAAGAAGACGCGGATTATTGTGACACCGAGCGGACCTGATGTTTTACACGCCGCAGACAACCGTGGTGCTACTGAACTCTGAGGAGAGGCTCCGTCTCCTGGACGAGCCACCGAAGAGCTTCATGCCGGCCTTGCCTCTCCAGTTCTGCTCCAATTACTTCCCTGCACTTCTGATGGTAGTCGTTCACCCAGTTACACTAGAGAAAGGGAGGGGGTATGACATTCAGTATGAACGCAGAAGAGTTAGTGCCCTCACAAGCTGTGTACAGCCAAAGACATTTGTAGGCCCCTGAAGTCTTTGGGATTGAGCTGTTCAGCTGGGACGGAATCCTGTCCCAAAGAAACAGACCTCTCATATCTGGAAGTGATTTGTAAATTTGATGAGGGTAGGAACTGAAGCAATTCATCCCTGGTTTTCAGAGGAGCCAAGGTTCAGTTCAGCTGACAAGTATTTAAAGTCTCTGCAAATCACTGTCTCCAGCAAGCCAGAAGAGCTACCTTGGCACAGTCTAGTAAATAGCTTTGCAAATTTGTAACTGAACAATGCAGCCCTGAGACACAAGTTGCCCTACTGATCTGAACAGGTAATCTTACAGCAGATCTTGGTACTCCTCACAGTCACCTTCAGAAAAAGGAAATGTAAATAGGACTATCACTCAGAAAAAGAGGATGGGTTGAGGCAAAATAAAAAGTATGGTAGAAAAACAGGATGATACACATCATAGTGAAGGTAGTGGGAGACCTAAACAGAAAGTTTAGAATATGAAGCTATTCAGGAAATAAATGCTGCTGACCAGGTATCATTGATGTCTGCTCAGAGTCCATATGTACTGCAGAATGTGGTGTGGCTGAACATCACGAGTAGATACAGCCAACAACATGGGACAGTCACTGGTGTAAGTCTCTGGGGAGACAGCATGATAGTCTGACAGAAGCAAATTAAGGCAGGAGTAGGGAAAGAGAAGAGATGATAGCGGCAAATATAGTATCAATGGAACTACCAAAACAACATCATCAGAAGGGTCCTCGCTGCCTTCATCACAGAATAAATTATATCAGAAGGACCTCTTGAGACCCTGTCTAGTCCACCCTCCCACTCGAAGCTGGATCAAGTTTAAAATTAAGTCAGACTGCTCAGAATTGCTCTCTGGATCTATAAAATGGAACAGAGGCCAGTGGTGCTCGTAAACAAAACAGAACAAGCTGGTCCTAGTGCAAAGGTAGCAATGCAAACCTAACATTGCACTTACCTCTTTTTGGGTCAGCAGATTAACATCAATCATTTTTGTCTGGATTGGAACCAGGGTTAAGGGTTCAAAGGTCAGGCTTCCTCTGTTTTTGAAATTGTACTGCAGCAGAAAGACGAAGAGGGTTGTAAATTTTTAGAAACAGCTCTAGCCAGATCACACTTACTCCTTGGTTCATGTCAACACTACAGCACAACCCATGTAACATTCAAATGAGAGCGTAGCAACTTACAGTAACATTTTTCTTATAGCTCAAGCAAAGAATCTCAATATAAACCTTAGTTATTTCTTTCAATGGTCACTTTTTAAAGGCCATGTCACAGGTCACAACTGTACAGGACTCAGCGTGATGACTATATGGTCATTTTCAGTATGTCAGTTCTAGAAGCATAACCCAGCCAGACTGGCAATTAAAATGTCAAAATCTGTCTGTAGTTTTGTTTCTACTGCCACTGAGGACTCTATCAGAGAACAAAATCCTGACTTGAGAAGATCAACCAACTCTACAGCAATGACTCCAAGGGGCTGAATAAAGATGCTTCTGGTCTTTGACATGCAGACAGAAAACATTTTAAAACAACTCTCACATACACATTTCAACCTATGGAAACTTTGCTGAAGCAGAACTGTCTTCTGTGCCCCCATTAGCAAGAGAGACTTAGAATCAGTCTTCACCGAATTGGGGTTTTGGAGACCAGAAGTCTTAAGTAGGATTCAACTGTCTGCAGCATGGTCCCACCTCAAGTTCCAGTACTTATAAGTTTTACAACCAGTGAGTCATGGAGAAAGGTGTGTCTTGAGCAGGTCATTCACCTTGGTTTCAGCAGGGATCACAAGGACGACATTTTCTATTCGGATCCCAAAGGACCCATCTTCATAGTACCCAGGTTCTGCAGAAACAGACAGTAATTAACTAAGCCACATAGCACTGTGCAAATACTTATTCCCTATGGCTAAACGTCCCCTCTCCATGGCTTTAATCCACTGAAGTCACTAAGCAATCCTGACA